TTGTCCATATGTCTATTATGTGCATTGTCAAGCACATCAATTACAGTTTGCTCTCGTTGCTGCTGTAAGAGAAGTATATGAAGTTTATGAATTTTTTAAAGAATTAATTTTTATTGTGAATGTTGTTAGTTCTTCTTCTAAGCGTCATGATGAATTATAAGATAGTCAAATTGTTGAACTAGAACATTTAATTGAAATTGAAGAGATTGAGACCGGAACATGGCTAAACCAAATTGATACTTTGCAACTTCTCGGAGATACTAGATAGAGTTCTCTTTACAAGTTCATTTGTAGTGTCTTAAGGATGTGCAATGCAACTTGTTCTTTCCTTGAGAAAATAACTATCGACCGTCAAGTCTCATATTATCAGATTGGGGAAGCTAATTTTGCTCTTAAAAGTTGTTGGCTTTTGATTTTGTATTAATTTTACATATGATGTGAGAACTTATGCACTTTATCTAGCTTTACCATATAATTCGCAAAATATTTTAAATGCGATAGATTTTATTGTCACGAAGTCTTTAATTTAGAAATTTGTGGTTGGGAATATCTTTTATAGGAAATACTCTTATTTTGCAATAATCATGATACTTTTGCCCCAAATATGAGTACTACTTCTTATGATGTAATTTGATCTCGGCATAATAAAGATATTGTTTTAGTGGAGCATCATTATAAAGTGGATGTGTTTACAGTTACTATGGGTCAACAATTGCGTGAGCTAAACAGTTGTTTTAGTGAGCAAACAAATAATTACTTGTTTTAAGTGATTTTGAATTTTTTGGTCGTGGAATCGAGTCTTACGGTAGGCAATTTATAATTCTGACTGTCGGATGTCTCCCACGGAAACTGCTCTCAACCTGGCGTTGAGGCAGCCTACAAATAATTACTTGTTTTAAGTGATTTTGAATTTTTTGGTCGTGAGATCGAGTCTTACGGTAGGCAATTTATAATTCTGACTGCCGGATGTCTCCCACGGAAGCTGCTCTCAACCTGGCGTTGAGGCAGCCTACTATCCTACCTCACTCTTACCCCATTACACATGGGAATAAGGTCAACTATTTTTTTTTTTGAATCCTACAAATAAATATAAGAATTTTAATATGAAAAACATTTGTCGTCTTGTAGAGAAGTACTATCCCGAAGATTTTTCTAAACATGATAAAAATTATTTAGAGAGGAACTTAAGTTATTTTTTCATGATGTTTCTAATCATCCACGGATGAATAATTTGAGCACCATAACTCAATTATGTCAGTTTTTCAGAGATCAGTAAATCTTTTTCTTACCCTTTTTTGATAGATTGATTTGATTTATTTTGACAATTCCTATCAATACAACAACTAGTGAAAAAGTTTTTTCAGCAATAAAAATTGTTAAGACTAGTTTAGGAATAAAATGGAAGATAACTTTCTTTCAAATTACTTTGTTGTATACATTGAAAAAGAAATTGCTGAAAATTTTATCATTGCCTCAATCATAGATGATTTTAGTTCTTTGTATATATAAAGTTTTTTAGAACATACAATTATATCAATTTTAGTTGTTATTACATTTTTAAATTCAATATATATATATATATATATATATATATATATAAATTATGTTAGATAAATTTTTTATTTTATCTATATTGATCCAATCAATAATTTTTTTTGTTTCGTCACTGGTTTTGGATGATGTATTTTTTATATATATTTAAAGTTTTTTTGGAATATGCAATTATATTAATTTTTGTTGTTATTACATTTTAAAATTCAAATTATATATATATATATATATATATATATATGAATTATGTTAGATAATTTTTTATTTTATCTATATTGGCCTAATCAATAATATTTTTCTAAATTCGTCGTTGGTTGACTCTGAAGCTTATTTCAAGAATATAAATTCCTTAAATATTCCTGTATGCAGAAAAATTTATCATAGAAAAAAGCTGATAATTTTCAAAACCTATTCTTCAAAATTATAATAATTATAAAACAACACATTGAAGTTAGTATAATTTTTATATGACATGTTCAATGTCCAAACCTAAAGGTTTGCTTAAAATTTGGGAATGTTTTGATAAAAATATTAAAGGCTTAATACACTTTTTAGTGCCTAAACTATACCTCAAAATACGATTTGGTACCTAAAGAATTTTTCGCAAAAAAATATATGTCTAAGGTTTCCAACGTTACACTTTTATGTGTCTGGACCGTAACAGTCGTTAAATTTGGTTGTTATCTAACATGTGTCACACGTATAAAATTTAAAAAATTATTATATTTAAAAAAACCTAATATTATATGTTTTAAAAAAATCCTCAAATTTTACATCTTTCGTTGTCGATCGACCATCGTCGGGCTGTGACCGTCACCGTTGACACCATAAGAACTATCTCACTATGGCGAAAAAAACCCAATCCTCCATCAACCGTGAAACTGCGTCGATTATTGTGAAAAACGCCGCGAAAGGTTGTCAGATTTTTAGTTTTTTCGTTGTTGTTTTTCGATAATTTTGATGGCTACAAACGTCTATACGTTGCACAACTGCCACCATTGAGTTCCTCATCCTACTTCAAACAAAATTCGACCGGTGGTAACCCTTCACCGTCTGAGGTACGGGATGAGAGAAAAAGAAACGACGCGAGGGTTTGATTTTTAAAATTTTTAAAATAATAATCTTTTATTAAAAAATTAAAATTTAAAAATATAACAGTAGACACCTAAAAGTGTAACTGAGAAAATATTAGGCATTTATTTTTAGCAAAAAATTCTTTAGGTTGATTCGTATGTTGAGGTATAGTTCAGACACTAAAAAGCGTATTAAGCTAATATTAAACTCAAAAATGAGTTTGAACACAAAAATAAGATTGATGAAACGATCGAGTTTGGACATCAGCTAGGGATGGCAAATAGGTGGGGCAGGTGTAGATACCTCTTCCTCCATCCATATACACACCTAATATTTCCGTATCCACCACCTACCCGCCACCCACGATGAGTAAAATTTTTAAATCCACATCCGCCCACGCGAGTACATTCTTAAATCTCTCCTACACCCACTACCCAACTGGTACCCACCACCCATCTCGTACCCACCTGTGCCTACCCATTTGAGATAGGAGAAATGACAGTCTTCAATTCTAAAAATGTTTATACCATAACATTTAATTAAATTACAATTCATATCTTATAAAACCTTAAGATTTACATAATAGTGTTTGAAATTATACCTAAATTCATATTGGTCTAAAATTTATATGGTGGTTAGTTAGTGGGCGAGCGGATGTGGGGTAGGCGAATGCGAGGTGGATAAGGTCTCAAACTCATCACCTACTCATTACCTATGGCAGATATGACTTTTTACATTCACACCTGCCCATTAACTACTAAACTTATATTCATCCCCTCACCAATTGGAGCGGGTGCGATGCTAAATCCACGAAATTGTAACCTTTTGTCATACCTAACTCCATCATTTAAGGCTTGAGTTTAGTTTATTATATAATATTTAAGTCTCAGGTTAAAGATATAGTCATATTTTTTATTTTTTAATATATTTTATATTTAAATAATTATTGCTTAAGAAAAATATTAAAGATTATTAAAAGATATTAATATTAAATATTTTTAATATTTCCCCCTTTAATAAAATATTAAAAAAATTAATTTTTAAAATATTTAATGTTTTAATATTTTTAATAATTTTTAAGCTGAGAAATATATTAAAATAATATTTTTAATATAAAATGTTATAAAATAAAATAACAAAGCATAAGAAAAACAAGAAGCATAGATATAAAAATAAGGAGAGAAATTTATATTATTATCTCAATATGAATTGCATATAATATTTTCTCTAAATTTTATATTCATAGACATAAAGAGTAGTATTATTACCTTTAGGTGCCGATTTTATCTTGAAATACGATAAGTGACAGATGATGTTTTGTTGTCGACAGTGGTCATGAAGTACGATGCCAAAAAAATAATATGTTTAAAAGTTTGACAAAATCGATATACCCCTAAAGTTCAGTGTCTAAAATAATGTCATTTTAGACATTAAAACAGTCACACCAAAATGACGTCTTTTTGGATTGGCATGCTATGTCAGTAATCGTTAACCATGTAATCGTCTCATTACTGACCTAACGACGAAATGGTATAATCAAATATAAAACTGAAGTTAAATGTTATAATTGACAAAACTTAAAGTTCAATAGTATGAACGAGTCAATAAATAAAGTTAAGTGGTATCTAATATAATTTACCCTTATTGTTTTACCTAAATTTTCTTAAAGTGGCCTCAAAGGTAAGGATGTATTCGGTTTGAATTTTCAATAAAATATGAATCGAACCGCACTTTGTGAGTTTTTTAAAATTGAAACCAAAATCGAATGGTAGAAAAATCATGATTTTTTATTCGAGTCGATTTTATAGTTTTTGATTGCTCACTATTTTACAAACTCAAGATCCAAATAAAACAAACTTAAAGTTTAAATAGAGGGCAAATATATAAATTTAAATTCTTATTATTAGTTTTGAGATTTTATTTATTAAAGTTTTTCTTATAATAAATTCAAAATAAATTTTTTTTAGATAATTATTTTCTTTTATCTTTCTAATTAGATTTGATTTGAAACAAACGATTTTTATATGAAAAAAATTAAAACCAAACCGAATTGTATAATTATATTTTCAAATCAAACTGAAACTAAACTATAAAATGAAAAATCAGAACCGATCCGAATAACTCGGTTCGGACCAATTTTTCTATTTTTTTTTTTCAATTTCATTGCTCGACAATCCTAAAAAAGTATAAAAATTCAAAATATTATTAATTTATTTAAGCAGATTATATTTATAAAAGAATTATATTTTAAAAAGAAAAATGAAAGAAAAAATGAGAGGCGGATAGAACAATATGAAATTGTTACCCACAATCAATGGTGGAGATGAAGCCATCTTCGAATCTAACGGTCAGCTCACTCTATCTGTCTGTGTGTGTAGACGAGAAGATCAATGAGAGTTGGTGGCTATTTCTCTACATTATCAAACAACGAGGGTCCCTTCAACAGCCTCACCCTCTCACTTCGCTCCCCTCAATTAACAATGGCCTCTTCTTCTTCACTCACCCTATCTCAAGCCCTCCTTTCTCACGCCATCTCCTCCCATGGATCGCCGTCCTCATCCGACCACCGCGTCTCTCTCTCCGCACTCTCTTTTCCCACCTTCTCCGGCCTCAAATCCACCGTCCCACGCGCTTCCTCTTCCCGTCGACGCCTTCCCTCTCGCTCCACACAGAAGCGCCAAGTCCGTGCTGCCGCTGTCGAGACAATCGGTACCGCCGCCGAGACTTCCCTGGTGGAGAAATCGATCAACACGATCAGATTCTTGTCTATTGATGCTGTCGAGAAGGCGAATTCAGGGCACCCCGGGTTGCCCATGGGCTGCGCTCCGATGGGTCACATTTTGTACGATGAGGTCATGAGGTATAACCCGAAGAATCCTTACTGGTTCAACCGTGACCGTTTCGTGTTGTCCGCGGGCCACGGTTGTATGTTGCAGTATGCTTTGCTTCACCTCGCTGGTTACGACAGTGTCAGGGTAAAGCTTCTTTGAAATTCTATTTTGAGAGCTTTGAATTTTGGATCCTTGTTTCCTTTTTATAAAAGAGTTGATTTTTGCACTAAAGGACTAAAATTTATAATGATTGGATTATTCTCCAGGAAGAAGATTTGAAGAATTTCCGTCAGTGGGGAAGCAGAACCCCTGGACATCCGGAGAACTTTGAAACAACTGGAGTTGAAGTAACAACTGGTTAGTTAGACCTCTTTTGTTTAAGTGATTGCAATTGTTTTTATCAACAAAATTGTCATACTAAAAACAAAGCAAATATATGTATTTAAATGTGGTTTTCCCCCCAGGGCCACTTGGTCAAGGTATTGCAAATGCTGTTGGATTGGCTCTCGCTGAGAAACACTTGGCTGCTAGATTCAACAAGCCAGACAATGAGATTGTTGATCACTACACGTATGATTCCTTCGCGAGATCCCCTTTTTCTATCTTTTGCATGCTCAATCTTGTTGTGATATATTGACCTTTGTTTTCTTAGATATGTTATCTTGGGAGATGGTTGTCAAATGGAGGGTATATCAAATGAAGCTTGTTCACTTGCTGGACACTGGGGGCTTGGGAAGCTTATAGCTTTCTATGATGACAACCACATTTCAATTGATGGTGATACCGAAATTGCCTTTACCGAGAATGTTGATACACGTTTCGAGGGGCTAGGGTGGCATGTTATCTGGGTCAAGAATGGAAACACTGGTTATGATGAAATTCGTGCTGCAATCAAGGAAGCAAAGGCTGTCAAAGACAAACCCACTTTGATCAAGGTCAGATGTTTTCCCTACATCCTGTTTGGAAGTAATATGCTTGTACTATTCATTGATTTGAATCTTATCTAGTAGAAGTTTAAAGTTCCATAATTATTAGGTAAAGACTTCTCTGCTGAAGCTTTTGTTAAAAGGGCCTGCATCATATTAGAATGCCTTGATTGAAAATTGAAAAATCTTGCATCTCTCTTACATGTTTAGTCTCAACCTTATTATCTCTCTAATGTGTTGTACAAGATGCCATTTTTTTAATTCCTTGTTCCTTTCAGGTGACAACCACCATTGGTTATGGATCTCCGAACAAGGCAAACTCATATAGTGTGCATGGGAGTGCATTGGGTGCCAAGGAAGTTGATGCTACTAGGAAAAACCTTGGATGGCCATATGAGCCTTTCCATGTTCCTGAAGATGTTAAAGGGTAAGGAGATCAGTTGAGGTTATTATATGAATCTGATTATGTTTTTTGGTTTAGTGTTCAAAAACTTTCCTTCCATTTTCTGCAGGCATTGGAGTCGTCACACCCCTCAGGGTGCTGCTCTTGAAGCTGAATGGAATGCCAAGTTTGCTGAATATGAGAAAAAATACAAAGAGGAAGCTGCAGAACTCAAGGCAATCATCACTGGTGAACTACCAGCTGGCTGGGAGAAGGCACTTCCAGTTAGTAATCTTACTATCCTTGCTAAAAAGGATCTGACACCTAATTCTCAGATAATCTCTTTCAATAGACTAATGCAGTCAGATTGAATTGGAATGAAAAACTATATTTTGAGCCCTTTTGTGTTTTCAATTTTTAGACATACACCCCGGAGAGCCCAGCTGATGCTACCAGAAATCTCTCTCAACAAAATCTCAATGCCCTTGTAAAAGTTCTCCCTGGTCTTCTTGGTGGAAGTGCTGACCTTGCTTCTTCGAACATGACCTTGCTCAAAATGTATGGTGATTTCCAAAAGGACACCCCTGAGGAGCGCAATGTTAGGTTTGGTGTTAGGGAACATGGAATGGGAGCTATCTGCAATGGCATTGCCCTTCACAGCCCAGGCTCCATTCCTTACTGTGCTACGTTTTTTGTCTTCACTGACTACATGAGAGCTGCCATTAGGATTTCTGCCTTGTGTGAAGCAGGAGTTATCTATGTTATGACCCATGATTCCATTGGTCTTGGGGAAGATGGACCCACCCACCAGCCAATTGAGCACTTGGCAAGCTTCCGTGCGATGCCTAACCTTTTGATGCTTCGTCCAGCTGATGGAAATGAAACAGCTGGTGCGTATAAGGTTGCTGTTCTGAACAGAAAGAGACCCTCTATTCTTGCCCTCTCCAGGCAAAAGCTGCCCAACCTTCCTGGAACTTCCATTGAGGGAGTTGAAAAGGGTGGCTACATTGTTTCAGACAATTCTTCTGGCAACAATCCCAATGTAATTCTGATTGGAACTGGTTCTGAGTTGGAGATTGCTGCTAAAGCTGCTGATGAACTAAGGAAGGAAGGCAAGACTGTTAGGGTTGTCTCCTTTGTTTCGTGGGAGCTCTTTGATGAGCAATCAGATGCCTACAAGGAAAGTGTTTTGCCATCATCCGTATCAGCTAGGGTTAGTATTGAGGCTGGATCAACATTTGGGTGGCAGAAGATTGTTGGATCCAAGGGGAAGACAATTGGAATTGACCGGTTCGGGGCCAGTGCACCAGCGGGCAAAATATACAAGGAATTTGGTTTAACTCCAGAGGCTGTTGTTGCGGCAGCGAAAGAACTTATCTAAGCTTGCTTGGTAACTCTCCGGGTAATATTGTGGTTTTGGGTTGGAGATTGAAACTGAAGAGAGGCCATCCCAATTGTGACAGTCCCGTTTGTTTTTAATAAGAGTCAGAATCCACTTATTTTCTGTTGCTTGTGATTCATCAAAAAGCAAAAAATAGAGCGAAAGGGAGGGTAGACCTTCTGTATGATTATAAATTTGTAACTTCCTCTTGGACTTTTTCCCAGAGTTTTGCAGTACTTTTTGCTTCTAAGTTAGCTTTGCCCATTTCTTTTCATTTTATGCTATAAAACAGAGTTATCTACTCTTGTAATCTCAGCTTATATAATCAAGAACCTCAAACCATTATTTTTATCAAATATGCTTGGCCTAAGATGCATGACCAGTTTGTATCATTATGCCTTCACAAATGCTTTCTATCCTTTGTTTGAAATGGTGGTTGAAATAAGAAATCGGTGGAGTATAATCCAGCCAAGAGAAGCATAGCTTTCATTTCATTAAACAGAATGGGATTCAGAAATGGTTTCCAGCCATTAAAAAAAAGCCACAATATGATGAGAAATGTAACACCCCAACCTGTACCCGACCCGTATACGAGTCTAAAATGTCACATTGACTTTTCAAACTTTGACACTTAAAGAAAAACAGGGAAATTTTAAACTTTCATTAAAACAAAATACGTTAATTTACATAAAAGAGACCACAAAATACAAAATTGATCAGATCATTCCTAATTAACAACTTATTACATGCCAACACTCTATACACAACCAAAATACCTACTTTGTCAATTACTTCTGATCTGATCTTTTAGCAGTGATGTTGTCCTTGCCACTTCTATTACTGCTCTTCTTGCTTCTTGGTACCTACGTATAAATCACTTACACGCTATGTCATAGACTTAGTGAGACATAATATAAATATATAGATATAACAATGCATTCATGAACATGCATTCTTACCGTATGATCACGACCTCTTAATTTGCATGCATTTGTTACACTATAACATATATGATGGTGACATGCACATATAAAACATATATTCTTATGCTAATTCCACTTTACTTTATCTTTGGATTGTCCATGTATATTATTGAGAACATAAGGTACGCGAGCACGCTGAGGTTGTGCACAATGCTGTCACCACAACTCGAATAAAATCCCACTAGGGGCACTGAATATTTGTCTCGAAGGACCACTATGTCCCGAAGGACCACTGATAAACCCTCGACTCTTGGCATGCCAATTATACATACAGCTCTCATGTTAAATAGCATGGGCTTAATTATAAATACATTTCTCATTTCATATCTCTTTCATCACTGTCCATGTAAACACATAAGTCACTTCATATGATCATTTTTATTATTTCACATACCTGGAAGAATTCTCTGATAATGGCATTCATTCATATAATAGCATGGTAAATAGTGAATGAAAAATGCATGAAATCACTATAATGTTAACATATATATATATATATATATATATATATATATATATATATATATATATATATATATATATATATATATATATATATATATATATATATATATATATATATATATATATGCATGTGTGTGAATATGGAATCATAAATTCACTGCTAAGAGATAGACTTATCGCAAGTCTTATCTCAATTCTATTTCATCTAGGATATACACTCACCTTGGCCTTGCTTGTTTTGACTTGATCATAATCCTTCGTTTGTTCCGGAACAAAATTACGTTCTATATTTACATAGTAATACATTGATACTAATCAGTATACTAATTAATATATTCTAAACTATCACTCCTTAGGCTAAAAAGAAAGCTATTTTCATATCTTAATGAAGGTATGCATCGATGCACTACACCATGTATCGATGCATCCCTTGACGGGTGCATCGATGCACTATCTATGCATCGGTACATAAATCCCATTTGATGTTTGTATTTTAAGGGGTGCATCGATGCACTACTTGTGCATCGATACACTGATGACATTCAATGTTTTTATTTTAAAGGAGTGCATCGATACACTTCATGTGCATCGATACACCTTGAACAATTTCTGGGATTTTACCCTTGATGCATCGGTACACATTGAAGGTGCATCGATACACATAGCCCATAAATGTTATTTTAGCACGAAAATCTCTTTATAATCTTCTCAACACTTTATATTTCCCCTCTTTTTATATCCTTAACTTGCATACACCTACTTAAACTAATTAATACCCATTCAATACCTCTTAAACTTAAAAATCCAATCCTCCACATAGATTTCAAAAATCTCCCCCAATTTCCAACATGTTCTAAATCTAATTCTAACACTCCGTATGTATTAATTAAGTCGATGACAAGTCAAATTCAACCTCCGATTCCAAATATGAACTCTATTTCAAGATTTCATTCAAGAACTTCTAATCTTTAATTCTTCCTACACCCTTCGTCTTGTTGTTTTAAAGTAAATTAAGCTTTGCATAAGCTTAATTATCATCTAAGGATCAAAACCAAACTTAAATTTCAACTAACAATCAACTTATGAGAAATCTCACCTTTGCAATGAGTCTTCACGTTGGGAGAAAAGAAAAGAAGAAGAGAACTTTGGAAGTTTATGTATTTCTCTCTTCACTCCACGTGGAAACATATATAACCATAACAATTAAATTATTTCCCTTGTCAATGACTATTTTGTCCTTCAATTCCTCATTCTTTCCAATTTGATCCTACACCACATTTTTCATATAAGTCCTTAATTTTTCAATTATTATACTTTAATCACCAAATTCTGAAACTTTACAATTTAGTCACTAACCCAATATTGAGAATGTTACAAATCTTCCCCTAAAAAAATTCATCCTCGAATTTTCATTACGCGAAGAGATAGGGGTACTGAATCCTCATGTCCTCTTCACGTTCCCACGTTGCTTCCTCTATCTTGTGATTCCTCCACAAGACTTTAACTAATGGAATAGTCTTGTTTCGTAACTGCTTAACTTCATGAGTTAAGATCTGAACCGGTTCTTCCTCAAACGTTAGATCTGGCTGAATCTCAATCTCTTATGGAGTCACAATATGGGAGGGATCAGATCGATACTTCCGAAGCATTGAGACATGAAAGACATCATGAATTTTCTCTATTTCAGGTGGCAACTCTAATTGATATGCCACTGATCCAAATCTTTTTACTATCTCGTAAGGTCCAATGAACCGAGGACTCAACTTTCCTGTAACACCCCCAACCCGTATCCGACCCGGATCCGAGTCCGAAGTGTCACATCGACTTTTCAAACTTTGACTCTTGACAAAATTCAAAGAAAATTTAAAACTTCTATTAAAATAAAAGCGGTTTATTTTCATAAATAGACCAAAATAACCAAAATCGATCAGAGCATTTTCAACTCAATCACTTAGTACATGCCAACTATATTCCAATTAACCAAACACATTTAAATCATCTATTTTCTGATCTGAAATTTTGGTAAGAGATATGCTAACCTGTCTCGCTCTTCTTCGCTTCTCTTCTCGCTTTTGTAACCTACGTGTGAAACCATCACACGCTAAGTCTATGACTTAGTGAGGCACTAAACTTATAAAGGAAATGCTAAATGCTTAAACATGTATGAACATATCGTCTTATCATGCCACATCAAAACAATATAACATTATATATAACATACTATACACATATACATATTATGCATTATTTTAAATCTCTAATCTTATTTCACTATCAATATTCTTATCATTTATATCTTACAATTTTATCCTCTTATATCTATTCCTTTACTCAACATATTCAATTAACCAAGCAATACAAACATCATATAAATCATATACTCTACCAATACCTCCTCATGTCCTTGCTATAGAATTTATCATATCACAATATATATATTTGTTATTATCTCTTGATTAGCCCATGTACATATGTGAGAACTACTGATATGTGAGTCTCTAGAGGTTGTGCACTAATGTTGTTACCACAGCTAGTATAAATGCACCGAAGTGCCACGTAGAATTGCATCGAAGTGCCACGTAGAATTGCACCGAAGTGCCATATAAAATGTCCCTAAGGACCACGTAGAAAATTCCTTAAGAATCATATACCTATACAAAGGATCAAGTATGTGTCTCAAAAGACATCACAAATATTCCAAAGAATACATATATGTTCCGAAGGACCGCGTAGACCCTCGACTCTTGGCATGCCAACTATACCCCTAACTCTCAAGACACATAACATGGGCATTTTCTTTTATACTTATCATTTCACACATTCATAACACTTATCTCTTATCTCATGTCTGATCTCTTATACTCATGTAATCACATAGCTCATGTCATTTCTTGTGAAATCATGCATATCATGTAAGACATATCAGACATGTTCACACAACTCACTTCCATGTAATTCACATGATTTATTATCTCATACCTCATATCACAGTTTCATACAATTCCACAAATCATTGTCATATATGGATATCACATTTGTACTTAATCACATAGATAATGTTATATAGCACTAAAACCCCACAGTTCCGATTTTGTAGCTTATATATTGTTCTTATATCTTTTTATAGACATATAAACACTTAGATCATAATTCCCTAATTTATTGTACATAATCATATCATCATTTATATTCATAATACCTAGCTCATATTTTGTTCTCTTATGCTTACATAGATCCTATAACATATATTGTAGCATACTAACATATATCACTTAAATAAATTCATTTACATATAAATTTCTTATATTCTCTTAATTCAAGTTTACATTACTATTATAACCTTTTCCTATGACTTCATAGATCTTTACCATATAATTTCTATATCATAGCTCATCTAAGCACATTAATCTTTCTCATACAACTTATCTCTCATATGATTATCTTTATTTATGTACATATCTTCTAATTGATATTCTATTTTCATATTGTCCTATAAATCAATGTTAGTTAGTTTATCTCACTTTTTATTAATACTATAAATAAATTATCATAGTTTCCATAAACTTGACTCGTGTAATTTATGTTTTGCTATTATACCTTCATCTAAACATATATTTACATGTTCATAATCACTTAGCTTAATTTCTTTCTATGGTTATCACATACATCATTTACTATTATACATGATTCGTGCCCTTATAACTTATTTCACATATTCACACAGCTCATAAAGTTCACATATAGTTACATATTTTGTTCCCATATAACCCATATCATATAAATTTACACCTCATAACATATAATATAAACAAAGCA